GGGGCAGGTGATGCTCTGTATCCTTGGTGCTTTGGGGGGGGGGCAACAGTGGGAGGGCTTCTGGTGTCCTGGCCCCACTGCTGGACCTCCTGATGGCCCCTGGTGTTTTTGGCCACTGTGTGACAGAGTGTTAGACTGGATGGGCCACTGGCCTGATCCAACACAGCCAAGCCCACCTGAATTCCTGCCACAGGAAAAAGCTCACCTTTTGTTCATGCCCTTATTGCTGGCCGTCCCCTTTCTGTCCTGGTGGGGAAGGGGAAACTAGAGTAGGTGCCTCTTGACTGGGGAAAGCTGTACCCGTTGGATTTCCACTGAGTTTTGTTTGGCTCGGCTGTGGAGGATGGCATGGTTTTTATGTTGCTGGGCCAGGGAATCCTTTGGTTTACTTTGCATGCAGTCTTAGAAGCCTAAACGCAGCAGAAACAGGTTTGCCAGCTCCATGTTGGGAAATTCCTGGAGATGTGGGGATGGAACTTAGGGAAGAAAGGATTTAAGGGTGGGAGGGACCTCAGCCGGGCGGAGGGCCACAGCGCCCACCCTCCAAAGCTGCCTTTTTCTCCAACGGAGCTGATCTCTGCTGTCTGGGCAGCTGTAATCCTGGGAGTTCTCCAGGCCGCACCTGGAGCCTGGCAGCCTTGAATGGAGACCGTGTGGCATAGAGGGGGAGAGCCCGGTTCAAATTCTGACCTCTGTCACAAAGCTCCCGAAGAGACCTTGGGGCCAGTCCCTCTCCTCCCGGCCTACCTTGCAGGATCGTTGTGAGCACAGAGGAGGAAGGGGAGATCTCCGTATGCCTTGGCGGAAGGCCGTGATAAAAAATATCAACACAGAGAGAGAGAGACAGAGAGATTCCCTGCCGTGGCGTCCCAGCTCTGTGCAAGTGAAAGGAGCCACACTCACTGTGGCGTCCTTCCTTTTTTTGGGGGGACTGTTTCTCCTTTAAATCATACTCTGTGACGTGCTTGCTTAGAGAGGAAACGGTTTTACCTTCAATTCACACTTTGTGTGTATAATCTTGGTGGTTATCTGCTGCCACCAGGAATTAAAAAATCCAGATCTCTCTCCTTTGGTAGTGTGACCCAGGGTCTGGGCACTTCAGAGGACTATGTGGCCCTGAGGAAGGACTGTACTGATTTCTGGGATATATTTAAACAAAAATGGATTTATTGAAAAAAGAACAAAATAGGTTTCTGGGAAAAGGAACTTGTAAAATGTAGGGCTCTTTTTGTAGAAAAAACCCAGCAGGAACTCATTAGCATAAATAGGCCACACCCAACAGCAGAAACTCATTAACATATTAGGCCACACCCCTGACATCACATCTCATTAGCACATTAGGCCGCACCCCCATGTTACCAGAAGTGTAGTCATCCAGCCACACCCACCTTTTGCATGTTATTCTGTTTACCTTGTTTGTCGTCAAAACCCAGGGCTTTTTTTTTTTTGGAGCAGGAACTCCTTTGCATGTTAGGCCACACCCCCTAATTGTAGCCAATCCTAATGAGTTCCTGCTGTTGGGTGTGGCCTATTATGCTAACGAGTTCCTGCTGTTGGGTGTGGCCTATTATGCTAACGAGTTCCTGCTGGGCGTGGCCAACTTGGGATCCAGCCGGAACTCCATTCCTGTGCGTTCCTGCCCAAAAATAGCCCTGGCTCAATCTCATGTATCCATATCCAATATTTTTACGACATCACAAGTCCACCACATATGGTAAAAAGAGCCTGTTTTTCGATTACATTTCCAACGAACATTTGACATATTTGGATACCATTTAGCTAAATTTTCAGGAGTCATATGCCATCTATAAAACATTTTGTATATGTTTTCCTTATAAGACACAGCTTTAGTGAGTTTTATATTAACTTTCCATACCTTTTCCCATTGTTCTAATTGTATGTTATGACCAATATTTTGTCCCCATTTGACCATTGCTTCTTTTACCACCTCATCTTGCACCTTATAGCAACTTATAAAAAAGTTTTATATTTCCCTTCAACACACCACAAAATGTTATCTATTTCTACAGGTACATCACAGAATCCCAACACGGACCTTTGTTGACAAGAGCTTCTCCCTCTTGGCCTCTCCCCTCTTCTGGGTGTTCCAAAACGACTCAAGAGTTTAAGTGTCAAATATCCCAGAACATGTCCAAATTCAGGTCCAATTAAAAAGGCAAGACAAAGTTGCAACATCCTTCAGAACCAAAGTCTTGTATGATACCCAGGAATGTCTCCAGTGCCAGATCTCCTGTTCATGGTCAGAGCAAGGCTGAATTTCCTCCTTCAACTATTCCTTAAACTTCTTTCCCCTTCATATCTTTGACCCACTAGAGCAGGGGTGTCAAACTCATTTGTTACGCAGGCCAGATCCGACATAAATGAGACCTCGTTGGGCCGGCCCACGTGTGGCATAAAATGTAATGCCAGGTAGTGGAGATATAAACTTTATAAAGATCACAAACACAAAGGTTTTGGTTTTTTTACTTAAAATAAAAACATGCTTACATTAGCACTCTTGCAGTATTCTGTTTATTGAACAGTGTCTGATAACTGACACCTCTTGCTCTGAATTATTGTATCAAAATGTCTGTGCTGTTGCAGTCTTCTTGAGTATGCTGTTCAGGTGTGTATCTGTAAGCTGCAAACCTAGGATGACGCAGCAGCAGCAGAACTGGAAGAAGCAGCAGAAGACAGCCAGTTCCTCGTTGTAATTTATCGTAACTTACGATAAACTGCTAGATAGTTTACTAACTACTAGATAAAAACAGTAACCTAAAGAGTGTAGATGAGCTACAATCACAAAACATACACTTGACCTGGTGGGAAAATACACAACTAAAATCTGTATACAGCAAAGACAGAAACATAGGCTTCTATGTATACAGCAATGAATTAGATAAAATATGGTTATCAACCAGTGATAAGCTGATTCAAAAGATATACAGATTACTGTTGGAGAACTATATGCAGGACGAGGTTGTGAAACAGTGTATGGTAAAGTGGATGCAGGATATGGGTTATAGTATAGGTATTGACGAGTGGGCTAAAATATGGAAACAAATGAGATTCCTTAAACCAACATCACTCAAGGAAAATATATATAAGATGTTTCACAGGTGGTACTGGACTCCAGAGAGGATTGCTAAATGTACAAAAACCATGTCTAAAAACTGTTGGAAGTGTAAAAATAACATCAGTTCATTTTTTCATATGTGGTGGAATGTGAAAAAAATACAACAATTTTGGAGAATGATGAAAAATGTTGATCTTAGTTTACTACCAGAAATATATCTATTAAATATTATTCCAGATTGTTATGAGCTAAAAGATAGATTATCTGTTAACTTATATCCTAACTTCATCAAGAATATTACTTGCTCGATACCGGAAAAACGAAAAGTTGCCTTCTAGACAAGAAATAGCTTGGAAACTGCTAGAAATTGCAGAAATTGATAAACTGACAATGTTAATACGGGAAAAGATGAAACTTTACTTCAAAAAAAGATGGTCAAAAGTGTACAAATGGTGGGAAAATAATACGATGTAAAAAGACTCCAAAAAGATAAGATTTTTCAACAAAAAGTTGTAAATTATGGAAAAATGTATAGATAAAGTACTAAAAAAAAAAAAGAGAGAGAGCCAGTTCCACAGCAGGCCTGATAGAAGCCCTGTTCCGGCCCCTGGGCTGCATGTTTGACACCCCTGCACGACAGCTTTCCCCTTCATATCTTTGACCCCCAACACAGTCCCCGTGGGCGCCACATGACATCTGCCCACACCTTTCCCGGTGCCCGTGTTTTTAGACGTGGGCACCACCCAGCAGGGCTTTTGCCCAGCAAGGCTTCTCATTGACCACCGGAGATTTCATTGCCTGTTCTGATTTTTGAAAACATTGCTTTGGCAGCCGCTGCCAGCACAGCGCCAAGAATCTTCTCGAAGTCCCTGAAGGTGAGCTGTGGCAGCCGGTTTCTGGCCGGCTCCGCCTTCAGCAGCGCTACAGGTTGCTCAAGGGTACCGCCCCTTCGCCCTTCAGCCCCACCAGAAGGATGCTCGAAGCAAATGGCCGCTCTTCAGTTCTCTGAAATGCGCCTGAGGAGGCGCCGCCGGAAGGTGGAAAATGGCCTTGAGCCTTTCGGAATTTGGGGGGGGGGTGTTACACATTTTCCCAGTAGGGAAGGGTCCCAATCGGAGTCTACCCTGAGAGTTTCACCAAGACGGTGGAGTTGGTGATGTGAGCTTCCGTGCGCTCCGCCCCGGGGCGATTGCCGATGTGCTGGAACCGCAGGTAGCGCACTCCAGGGCCATACTTTCTGAAGACGTGGGAAGCCTGTGAAAAGAAAGGGAAAGAGCACCACAGCAATAAACAAGTGAGGATGTGCACCGGTGTGGTGTAGCAGCTGGAACAGGGTGGGGCTGACCCGTGTTCGAATCCCTACTCTGCCATCAAGCTCACTGGCCGGTCAAGCAATGGAGCCGCCCTTGGTCTGGATCAGCACACTCTCCGCCCCGCCTCCCCCGCCACCAAGCAGAGTCCAGACACCCCCAAGAGCGGAGAGTAAAATGGGCCGTTGCAGCCCAGAGCACCTGCTGAAACGGGACGTTCCACTCCTCCGCAGGGTCCACCTTGGTGACAAATCTGTCGATCACGGAGTTTTTGTCGGCTGCCAGGAGGAGGACGTAGAGGTTGTAGGTGCAGCCGCATTTTTCGTGGGTGCCCCACCTGTGGGGACCAGGAGAACAATCGGGGTACAGTTTGAGATGACGGAATAAAAGACAGCAGACCGAAGGGGCAGACGACGAACGTGATAGCTGCTAAACACATCAGGGATGGATCGGCGCCTCTTTGCAATGCACCCTGGGGGAAGGCAACACGCCGAGACGTCCGCAACCAAGGTCACTAGTCCACCAGACGTTTGACAAGGCCGCCTGTCCACCCCGACCTGTGGCCTGAAAGGGCCTGCCACCCGAAGGTTTCCCGGCCTGGAGGTCATTTCCATTCCATACAAGCAGTCCGAAGCGGAGCTCTTGGGAAAGCCGGACTGTCTCTCTCCGGGCCGATATTGGGGGCCATCTGACTTGGACTGGGGTTCAAGAGGGCTGCCTGAGGACTCACCAGTCAGAGATCAAAATATCCGGCTGGAAGGTGTCCAGGACGTCTTCCCACAAGCCTTCCTTCACCAAATCGACGAGCTGTGATATCCAGCAGGTGCTTTTGGGGAGGGGGACAAACAGAAAAGTTTGTGATCTATCTGGTATACCGTGGTTGCCGGACTGCAAGGGTTCCTTTTGCAAGGTAGAGGAGATCCCGGCAACTGACAAAGAGACCCCCCCCCCAATCCTGGCAAAGAGGGGCCCCCAAGAGGGTCAAGCTAACAACTATATGATATAAAAATACAAATGTTTATTAGGGTGTACACATAGCTAAGGAATTGCGGTGGCTCAAGTGGTTAAGACGCTGAACTGCAGGCTGTGGAAGGTCAGTAGTTCAGCAGTTCGAGAACCGGGTGCCGCATGATGGAGTCTCTAGTTCCAGCTCCTGCCAACCTAGCAGTTCGAAAGCAAGAAATTGCAAGTAGATAAATAGGTACCACTTCAGTGGGAAGGTAACAGCGTTCCGTGAGCCTTGGTGTTTAGTCATGCCGGCCACATGACCACGGAAACGTCTTCGGACAGCGCTGGCTCTTTGGCTTTGAAACGGAGATGAGCACTGCAACCCTAGAGTCGGATTCGACTGGCTTTCGAGCAAGGGAACCTTTACCTTTTACACATA